GGGAGAGAGAGAGAGAGAGAGAGAGAGAGAGGGAACAGCTTCTGCTGGGCGAAAGTTTGGCCTTACATATGGAATTTGTTCTGTTCATCTTTTGCAGGCCATTCGAGCTGTCACAGGACCACCAGGTTGTTTGCTAATTGTTAAGGTAATGTCCCATCCTTCGTTTTTCCCCTTGTTGGGAATGGAGAATCCTTTCCAACCTTCATGAAGTAAATGGTAATGGTACACTTGCACTTGAACTTGTTTTAGGACAGATTCGACGGAGGAAAACTTCTGGTTCACCCTTAATGTTCATGAGCTTTTAAAGAGGTTCACAAGTACAGATTCCAGTAGTGAATTCCAATTTTTGCTACTGGAATTTGCACTTTTTGCCGAGGTTAAGGCCTTTCACCGCAGAGGACTGGCCTGTGAAACTCTTCCCTGACCCATCTGGTAAATCTGGGCAGGTCAGAAAACCTTTTCAGGCGAGGGAACTGTATGGCTGCTTCGAGCTCGTCATATGGAGCCCAAGTTCGAGATTCATTTTGGTGGGCTTTACCGTTGTATGACGTAACGGCTGTGTTGTTACAAGATGCTGTTTCATCGTCTGTCCCCCAATGAGTTAGGCAATCTCTCGGCTGATCTGCCTTTTTCAATTCGATCCTGGGTGAACGTATCCACCACCTGGTCCAATTCAATTGCGCTGTATAGCAGTTCTTTTAGCAATTCTGAACAGTGCTTCGGAATGCTATTTAGTGTATATTATTTACTCTGCAAGGGGACTTAGAAAGGGGTATGGAGGAAACTAAAACGGTGTAAAGATGTACATATTACTTCATAATATATTGTTGTATGGATTCTACGGAATGTTGCATTGTTTTTTTGTCTTTCTTTTGCTACCTCTTTAATTCTGGAAAGAACCCTTCTTTTCCAATCTCTAGAGATCCAGACAGATTGTCTGGGCATTGTCCGCATGGGATGGACCAGACAGGTCTAGAAATTTGGATATCTGTACTTTTCTGGACGTCTGTGCAGCTGGTGTCTGGATTCATCTGGATCAGTTCTCCAGCGTAATCATGGAAAGCACAAAGATAACAGCTTCTCATAGGGCCTCGCTGCACTACTTTCCCAATGTGCAAAATGAGAATGAATCGTACACCACCATAATTTTTGTCTTTTGTGCATGTGGAGAGTAGTGCAGCAAGGCCCATAGAGTTACACTAGCTTGTGTGCTTTGAATGTCCTCACCGTTGTGCTCCTCACAGTGTATTCGATTGACTTTGTACCCTGATTCAGTCTGGAAAGTTGTAGTGTGAGTATGATTTTGTCAAAAAAAGCGGACCCGTGGCACATCCTGATGAAGATTTGGTTCCACTGGGCTTGTCCATATTTTGCTCTCAAATGTTCACAGAACTACACAGGTGATCGGCTCAACTTTGGACTGGCTGCAGAGGCTGCAAAAGCTGAAGGCCTGAAAATCGAGGTATGTTCGTCTCTCCTCTTCTGCAAGGGAGTTGGCCATTTCAACCCCCTAGTTCCGGATCAATCCCCACCCCTCTTCTTGTAAGAAGGCTAAATGGGGGTAGCAGGAAATAGGGGTTTGAAAATCGCAACCCCTCTTGTTCTTCTTTTTTTTCCCTGTGATTAAAATAGGTCGTTATAGTCCTGTCTCTGAATCCATTGTTGGGAGTGTCAGTCTGGTTACTTTTCCCCTGGCAAGCCGGAGGAATAGAACATTCGCAATCTCGAGGTTCCTCCTGTTAGGCTGAAGCGGACGACTGACTGTCAGCTTGCCTTTCCTTCTCTTATTCCTCTCAGATTTGGTCAGCAAATCTGTAGGATCTGTCTTTTGAAAAATTAGAACTGTGGGATTGAAATACTTTGTGACGAAGTCCTGCGCTCTCACTGTCTCTGTTCTGACCATCGTGGTCCCCACCACCTCTGAGAGGGGTGCTGACAGTTGCCCGTTCATGCATGTAGATTAGACCGCCTCTGTACTTGAGGTTCCGGCGGATGATTGCATAGACGGGTATGGGATGATTGCATAGACGGGTATCTGTCATTGCTGAGTTGTGTCAGTCCTCCCATTAGATTTTGGAACCCTGGAGGGCTGCCGCCTTGCCATTTGCTAGCCAGACATAACTAAACCCTGCACAAGTGTTTGCTCCATACATGCAAGCGCATGCCGTGTGGAAGATTCCGCACGTTCGGCGCACAAGCGGACCTGCATGGTGCGGCACACGGGAAATATTCACTCAGGAAAAAAGGGGGTTGCATGCCTGTGTCAATGGTCACCTGCGCCCCCTTTGAAGATTTATTG